CCTCCTCCTCCTCCTCCTCCTCCTCCTCCTCCTCCTCCTCCTCCTCCTCCTCTGAGCACCGGCCCATGGCCACCCTCGCGGCCGCGTGCGCGCTACCCGCGCTCCGGGCGCCGTCGCCGCGCGCCTCCTGGCCGCCGCCGCAGGCGCCCTCCGCAGGGGGCGCCCCGCCGCGGCGCCCGCCCGCGGGGGGCGCCACGCCCGCGGAGTCCGCGGCCGTGGCTCGGAGCGCGAGCTGCGGGTGCTCCTCAGAGGAGGAAGAGTTGACGACGCGCAGAGGGGTGCAGGGGGAGGGGGGGAGGCTTCTTAGAAGGAGGCTGCTTCTTAGAAGGCGGCCTTACATGTACAGGCAAGGCCCGCGCCTTCTACGAAGCAGGGGTGCGTCTAAGAAGACTTCCCCTCTCCCCCTACCCGCCTCTGCGCGTGGCCGAAAAAGGCAGGGCTGCGCTGGATCGAATCGCTGAGTCTGATCGGATCGGAAACGGGTCGCATCGCCATCGAATCGTCCCGAGTCGAATCGAGATCGGATCGCTGCGCCTGGCTCTAGCTGGCCCTTGGTCGGTGAATCGAGCCGAATCGAATCGAATCGGGATCGCGGCCCTGGCTTGCGAATCGAATTGAATCGACTCGAATCGTAGGCGGCCTTTAAAAGGTACGCGTAACCGCTACCCTCCGCCCCTTCTCCCTTCTTGGAACCTCCCTGGAAGCCTCGTGGTTGCCGCTGGATTCGCCTCGGAATTCTGGTCAGAACGCATCCCAGGAGAGGTCCGAGGAGTAGCGGCATCGGTACAGTTTGGTCTCCCCAGCTCCACCTCCTTCTCCTCCCTCCTCCTCCTCCTCCTCCTCCTCCTCCTCCTCCTCCCTCCTCCTCCTCCTCCTCCCTCCTCCTCCTCTCCTCCTCCCCTCCTCATCCTCCTCCTCCTCCTCCTCCCTCCTCCCCTCCTCTCCTCATCCTACGCCTCCTCCCCCCCATCTTCCCCCTCCTCCCCCCTCCTCCTCCCTCCTCCCCCCCCTCCTCCTCCCTCCTCCCTCCTCCCCCTCCTCCTCCTCCTCCTCCTCCTTCTCCTGCTCCCCCAGCTCCCTCGCGAGCTCCCTCGGCGCGGCCCTGCCATGGACCCTCTGGCGGCCGGAGAAGACGCAGCAGCCCATCGGCGTGCCCCCCCGGGCAGGGGCCCGCCGTCACCGCCCCCCGCGAGGGGTGCGCCTCGGGCCCCCTAAAGGGCTGAGGCATCTTTGTGTGTGCGTATTCGTATATGCATATATATATATATAGACAGATATGTGTGTATCCCTGTGTAGGCAGTTGCGGGTAAGAGTGAAGGGGCGGGCGCGGGGGGGGGTCGCGGGCGGGTCGCGGGCGGGTCGCGGGGTGGGTCGCGGGTGGGTTGCGGGTGGGTCGCGGGCGGGTCGCGGGGTGGGTCGCAGGTGTGACACGGGATGGTCGCTGGTGGGTCGCGGGTGGATCGCGGGCCGGGTCGCGGGCAGGGTCGCGGGCGGGACGACGACAACAAACAACAACACACAACAGGAAACACGACCACCACCAACAACAAATCAACACACACACCAACACCCACACCACCATCAACAACAACACATCACCACCAACCACAACACCAACTACAGCATGTAAACACAAACGCAAACAAACAAACAAACAGACAAACGAACAAAAAACAAACAAACAAACAGACAAACAAACAACCAACAACAACGACAACAACAACAACACACAACAGCATGAACAACAGCAAACAACAACACCACCACCACCACCACCAACAACAACAACAACAGTCATGCTAAGACTGTTCGCTCTTACTGGCACGCGTGTCTTGCATTCCGTATACCCCAACCCTCGATACCCGCCCATTTCGTCTTCGATTACGCCCCCTTTCAGGGAGACTCTTCCTTGCAGCCACTGGCTGAAGTGCGAGGAAGTATCGAGCGAGAGCGCCGATCCTGAGTTCGGGTGCCTCTCTGGCCAGGGGCTCTCGGAATACAAATGGACAAATATCGAACGGGAACCATTGTCGCCGTGTCTGGTCCTCCACCAACTTGCCTGAATTAAGAGAGAGCTCAGGCGAGAGCGCCGTTCATGAGTTCGGGGGCCTTCTTGGCCAGGGGCTGTCGGAGTAAATCGTGAGGACGTATCGAGCAGGAGCCCTTGTCGTCGTGGCTGGGCCTCCGCCAACTTGATTGAATTGCCAGGAAATCCCGAGCAAGAGCGCCGTTCCTGAGTTCGGGGGCCTCTCTGGCCAGGTGGTCTCGGGGGAAAGTGTGAGGAAGTATCGAACGGGAGCCGTTGTCGTCGTAGCTGGTCCTCCAAGGAACTAAATTTAGGCTCCAGCCAACGCTCGAGCCGCAGCCTCGTTTTCAAAGAAAATGTAGCCCGCGCCAAAACGAGAGCGCGCGGAACCGCTTCCGGAGATCAACAATACTTATGCTTGAGAAACGAATATTCAGCATCAACATCATCAACAACAACAACAACAATAACAACAATACCAACAATAACGACGACGACGACGACGACGACGACGACGACAACACCAACCATGTTACCCTCATGCGCGATGCTTCCACGCGCAGCATGCGACCATCATGATAACCATCCCCAGCATGGGGGATTGTTGTTCTATCGCGGGGGTCCGTTATTCCCATTCCCAGATCTCCCGCCCAATGAGGTCTTGCAAACACCTCCTCCGACTAATCTCAACATATCCCGCCTCGAAAACACATGCCCGTGCCCTGCTGCACCGATGGGAGACCGCCAGTGGAGTCCCAGCCCAGGGTAAAGCACAAGGAAGTATCGAGCGACAGGATTGACTTGGTGGGGATGGAAGCTGTCGGCGGCGAGGCAAGGACCTGGACCTGGCCCTGAGTAGAAAGGGAGGAAGTCTCGAGCAGGGGTGCTGTTGTTGCTGGGAGCGGCACCAATCCAGAAGAGAGTAGGACGCTAGTCCAGCGTGAAACAACACGAAGTCTCGAGCGGGAGCGCTGGTTCTGTTGGGACGGCGGTTGTCGGCGGCGAGGAGGAACACCGCCTTGAGTAAGAAGGGAAGGCACATTGGGGCCTTCAGGTTGGGTTGAGGTGGTTTGGTAGGTGGTGGGTGGATGGTGAGCTTGGGAGGGAGGGGGAATGGGAGGACGAAGAGGGAAAGAGAGATGGCGAACAGAGACATGGAGGAGGAAGAAAACCTCCAGGAGGGGAAATTTGCAGGTGCCACCGAAGCCTCCCCAGGCCCGCTGGGGGCTCCACACCGCCTCCCTGCCGGGCTCAAAGTCACATCCACCAAGAAATGCCCGCCATTACAAAGAAAACTGGTCGACAAAACGAGCCTCCAGAGGCCTGCGTCAAATCCCGCCGCATCGCCACGGAGTCGGAATCCAAATCCATCGGCCGTTCCAGGATGCGCAACAGCGCCATGCAACCGTCGGGCCGCAGCGGATGCTCGGAACACCGGAATCGGATCGGCTCGGGCCGGCCAAAACCGAGATCGGATCTGATCGATCGGATCGACCTTGAGCCTGGGGTGCCGACTTTGAGGAGGGGGGAGGCGGAGGAGTTGGAGGTGTTGTCCTCGCTGCGCCACCACTGCCCACCCTGCATCGCCACCGCCCTGCCGCCGCGCGCGGAAGCTAAAATCCGACGGAACTCAGCGTCGCGACAGGCCTGGCACTCGACGACCGCGCAAGAGCAGAGGAAGACCCGGACCTCCGATGTCTTCACTGTTCAACAAGGGCGCCCTGGAGCTTTCCGTCCTTCCCCAAGGACTGGTACTGCATACCAGGTCGGATTTCTGACGGCCGCAGGGGCCGCAGACGGCCCCCGGGGCCGAAACCCAAGGGGGAGCGCCATGGTTGACTCAGCCAAAACGTCGGAGCTCTGGGGAGGAGGACGAGGAGGAGGAGGAGGAGGAGGAGGAGGAGGAGGTATGAGGAGGGGGGGAGGACGAGTCGGAAGGGACGAGGGGGAGGAGAGGGGAGGGGGGAGGAGGAGGGGGCGACCCGACGACGGACAGAAAAGACCGCGCGCCGCGCACAGGCGGGAGAGTGGAACTCCAGAAGAGCCCTGCGCGGCGCTGCGGCGCGAGCACCGCCTGGCCGCCCCACGGGCGGCCAGCTGGTCGACGGGCGCGGCAAGGACAAAGCTGCGGGCCCTAAGAATATACACCACCACCACGTCGGCTCCTCCTCCCTCCTCCACCCTCGTCTTCCTATCCTCTTTCCTGGAAGAGGGAGGGGATGAGGGAGGTGGTGGTGGTGTATACCTCTGGGCCCCGCAAAAGCTTTCTCGCAAGGGACTGGGCACACTTTTGCTGGCGGGGGCCCTCGCGGGGAGTCCTCTTCTTGCCCTCGGGAGGCGTTTCGGGGGCTTCGTGGGTTCTCTTGCAGCCATCTCGGGGCGATTGGGTGGCTGTTGCGATCGCTTAAGAGCCCGCGGGAACGATTCCGAAACTATCGAGAGCAATCCAGGGGCACCTCTGAGGCGGCGGTCGGGGCCGCCGGCACTCCCACCGTCGCGCGCACAAGCTGCGCGGCGCTTGGGCGACGGCAGCATCTCGCCCGCTCTCGCACCATCTCCGCCGCTGGCGCGGCCGTGCGTGCGACGCGGGCGGGCGCGGCATGCGCCGCGCCCGCGCCGGAACGCCACCTCAATGGGCGACATCTGCACGGAGGTCAGGAGACCTAGCGACAAGTCGCCCGCTCGCGCGCGCTGCCCCGCCCCCCCCAACGAGACTCGCGGGTGACACCTGTGCCCGCGCCGACGCGGGAGCGCCCCTGTTACATACGAGCTGCGCATCGCCAGGGAAAGGCCAACACGTTCGTCCACTCGCGCTCCGGCGAACTGGCGAGCGAACCAGTTTGCGCCACACGCGATGTGAAGCATTCGCTGTGATGTTACACCTGCGCTACAGCCTGTGTTGTGTAACCGATCTTGTTCAGCCCACGTGGTGCAACATACGTGGTGCAAAACACGTTGTGCAATCTAGGTGGCGCCACCTATGTGGTACACTCTAGGTTGTACAATCGATGCTGTGCAGTATATTTGAGGTGCGAGCTACGAAATGCAATAGATGTTGTGCCACACATGTGAGGCAACATATGTCACGCAATCGATTTATCTGGTTATCTACGTTTGAAGGATTTGGGCCTGTAGGAATTGGAATTTGATGAAAATGTTGGAACACCGATGGTTTCTTAAGAACGAGTGCGGGCGCATGGCTTCTTCCAAAATTGATGTTGCAAAACAATGGTGTTTACATGTTTTTGGGGCACGTGATGTCGAAATCTCTACGAAACCAAAGGTTGTTTACAGGATTTCGGCATGAGCACGCGACGATGGGCGCGCGAGCACTTCGTGCCAGCTCTTACAAGGGATTCTTGCGAAAGCACGCGCGCAAGGGCGTCCGAACGATTTCGACACGCGCACGCGAGAGGCCATTTTGGAAGCAAGTTCATGAACATATTGAAAACCCATGGCTCTCATAAGAACAAGTATTGTTGCAAAGACCATGTCTTGTTCAATATGATTTCGTGATTCTCGAATATGAAACCCGTACGACACCTGAGGTTTCGAAGGGTTTCGGCACGCGCGCGCGACGACGCGCGCGTGTGCACTTCGCGCCACGACTTGCAACGGATGCTTGAAAACGGACGAATTTTCATACACGAGAGTGCGCGCACTATGTTTTTTTCGCAGAGGATGGCGGGTGGGGGCGATACCGGCCTGGCTGGGATGGTACGAACTCATATTTAGGATGGACGAGGGGCCAGGACCATAAACGCATTCACGCGCGAAACCAAAAACGGATAAGTACCGAGAGGATGTGGGTACAATCGAATCCCTTTTGGGAAAGGAGAATCCATGTGGTGTAATAGATGTTGTGCGATCTTTCGGGTTCGCAATCTACGTGGTGCAATCCATGTGGCGATTTGTATATCTATACTGTGCAACACCAATATTGTAGAATGTAATGTGTTGTGCAGTCTATGTGGGGCGGCGAAGGTGCCGATGACGACGGCAAGGCCAATGACGGCGCCGATATTGACCAAGACCACCGATAACGATGACGATGTCCTCGCGTCGACGACGAAGAATTTAGAAGCAGCTCGACATGCGCGCGCGGCCGACGCGCGCGAGTGACCCGCGTGGTATTATTTGAAACGGATCGTGCCCCTCTCCCCCAAGCACGCGCGCACGGGCGTTCGAATGAGTTCGACATGCGGCGCAAGAAACATACTTGGCAGTATTTGATGAACACGTTGGGAAACCGATGGTTTGCTTAAGAACCCGCACGAGCGCGAGCGCATGGCTTTCCAAAACTCATGTTGCACGTCTTCGGGGCACGCGATGTTGAAATCCTTACGAAACCAAAAATTGTTTACAGGATTTCGGCATGCGCGCACGACGACGCGCGCGTGTGAACGTTGTCAGATTGTTTGCAAGGGACCCTTGCGACAGCACGCGCGCAAGGGCGTTCGAACGATTTCGACACGCGAGCGCGAGAGGCAAATGTGAAAACAATGTTATGGAAGTGCTGAAGATATCGATGGTTCTCTTTAGAATGGGCAAGAGCGTGGGCACAAACTTGTTTGAGAAATTAGTGTTGCAAAACCATGTTTGATATGCTTTCGTGACTCTCGATTTTGAAATCCGTACGAAACCTGAGGTTTTGAAGAACTCCGGCATGCGCGCACGACGACGTGCAATAGTGCACTTTGTTCTACGATGTGCAACGGATTCTTGAAAACGCACGTTATTTATAAACGAGAATGCGCGCATGATGTTTTTGAAGAGGATGGCGGGGGGCGATACTGGCCTGGCTGGGATGGTATGAATTCATATGTTGAATGGGCGAGGGCCAGGATCATAAACGAATTCGCAAGCGAAACCAACAACGGATAAGTACCGAGAGGATGTGGGTAGAATCGAATCCCTTCTGGGAAAGGAGAATCCATGTGGTGCAATTTATGTTGTGCGATCTTTTGGGTGCGCAATCTATGTGGTTTAAATCCTGTGGTTATACATGTGTGTATATATGTATAGTGTGCAATCGATGTTGTACTATGTAATGTGTGGTGCAGTCGATGTGGGGCGGCGACGGGGCGGCGACGGCGGCAACAAAGCGCGGCGACCGACTAACAGGCCCAGACGACGGGCGGCGACACGGCGGCGACGGCGGCTACATAGCCGCACGACCGACAGACAGGCCTTGTCTCTTAGAAGATAAATTAAACAACGAACCACTGCTTGGGGGAAAAATGCGCACGGCGCCGAGGCAAGGACGACAATTCGCCCTTTCGTGTGCGGTGTGCGTCCCGTCCCACTCCTGTCACGCAACTTGCAACGAGGACGCCAAAACGTCCATACTGAAAAAGAAAACGTCGACCTCGTATCGGCTGCTGATGGGTAGGAACGTCCCGGGTGTGGCCCCCATGTGCTGGCTATGGCCTCGTAAGACTGATGCAAGAGTAGGAAGAGCGGGAGGGAGGTACGGGACAGAGGAGAAGGAGGTAGAAGAGATGTGGGAAAAGGACGAGGTAGGAGGGGGACGAGGTCGGAGCATGAGGTACGCGGGAGGAGGTAGGAGGACGAGAGGGAGGGGGGGAGGAGAAGAGGGAGGGGAGGAGGAGGAGGAGGAGGAGGAGGAGGAGGAGGAGGAGGAGGACGAGGAGGGGGGCGAGGGGGAGGGGGAAGGCCGCTCAGGTGGCAGCAGGCCTGCGGCGCGGATCAGCGCGCGCAGGTCGCGGAGCTTCCACCCATGGCGGACTGTGGCCGAGTCCTCCTCGAGAAGCCCGAAGGTCTCTTGCTCGCCGACGTTCGGGGCGGACGAAAGAGATGGCGGGGGGGCCTGGTAGTCTTTCCAGGAGGAGTAGGAGGAGGAGGAGGAGGAGGAGGAGAAGGAGGGGGAGGAGGACAAGAGTAAGCCCAAGATGCATCAGCCATGCTAGAATACACCCTCCCGTCACAAGTCCCCTCCTCTCACGACTCCCTGCAAGTTGTTCTCTTGAGAGGAGCCAGCTCGGCGCTGCATCGCCAAGAGATCGGCCATAGGCATTCGATCGCGAAAGCCGCGTGGTCCCCAGCGGGATGGGCGATCGGACCCCACGTCGGCAATGATTCGGAATGATGGGGCGATCGGGGGTCGATGCATCCCCCCCGGCGCGTAGTGCCGGCTACCGTTGCCAATGAAAAGGGGGGGAACGACAAGCCACGAATCGGAAAACCGGAGGCCGCCAGGAAACCGGAAGAGGCCCCCGAGAGGCCCGCAAGAGGCTCACAAGAGAACCAAGAATTCCTCCCCAGGGGCCCCCGGAGAGCCTTCCCAAGAGACCCCAGGAAGCATCCATGAGGACTCGGGCCCACGTCAGCGTCGTCGTCGTCGTCGCCGCCGCCGCGGCCACCGCCGCCATCCTCGTCGTCGTCGTCGTCGTGGTCGTCGTCGTCGCCGTCATCGTCGTCGTGGTCGTCGTCGCCACCGCCGCCATCGTCGTCGTCGTCGCCACCGCCGCCGCCGCCGCCGCCATCGTCGTCGTCGTCGTTGTCGCCGTCGTCGACGTCCCCCTTCAGGGTCGGCGGCACCGGCCGTGAGGCCTCCACAATCGGGTCGGACCGGAACGTGCGTCGGAGATCGGCCTGGCATCGGTACGGAAAATCGATCGTTCGAAGCGGGATGGCCGCGCCAGGTGATGGGCAATGCGCGCCGCGCGGCGAGCTTCGGGCCGCATCGGATCGCTGGAGACATCGGAATCGAATCGGGTGGAGCAGACCGAAGTCGAAATCAAATCGGATCGGTCGATGCAGAATGGACCCTGAGAATGGGAAACAGCAACCCTGGTCTTCCAGGAGGCCTGCAGTCAACCCGCATCATGAGGCTGCGCGGTAAGGATTCAAGGGCCTTGGAGGCCCATGCTGACATTTTTCGGGCGAGGTTGGCCAGCGAAAGTTGCGAAGGATGGGCCGAAAGGGTGAGGATGCAAGGGTACCCTTGGGAAGGTAGCCCGTCCTCACTGTGCGGGCTGACTGCAAGAATAGCACCAGGACCCTTGAATCCATAGTATTGTCGGGGTTCTATGGGGAACAAGTCGTTACGTTTTTCCACCGCAAACACGCCACCAAGAGCTCGCCACAAGTCGCTCTGTAGGTCTGGAGGGCGATTTGCTCGCACGCTGGTGGTTAAGGGAGAAGGAGGGGGTAACGAATCAGCTGCGTGAGCTGGATTCGCTGGCGCCTCCCAGCGCTGGAGGGGGCGCCCGAGACCTCTGGCTGCAGATCCAAGCCCAGCTGCACGCAGCAGCTTGTGTGAACCGCTGTCCCCCTTTCCCCCCGCACACACCTGTCCCCCCTCCCCCCCGCACCACACACATACACACACATACACAAACACACACACACATAAACAAACACCCACACACACACACACTGACATTAACAAACGCACCCACACACACAAACACACACACACACACACACACACACGCACAAACACGCACACACACACACACACACTTCTAAGGCAGCGGCGCAGGGAGTTCTCAAGAGCGAGCAGCAGGGGAAGTGCGAATTGCGATCGAGCGTTGTCGAAGGCGCAGCGTACGAAGCGTTGCACGCTGCAACATGCAACATGCGAACGATGGGTGTGCCACACATACACACACAAACAAACACCGTTCGGTCGTCGCGGGTGGGCGACTCGCCGCACCGTCAGACGCGCTGCGCGGGGAACCGCGCGCGCGCGCCCAGTAGTACTAGTAGTCAGAAGAGAGGCGGGCAGAAGGAAAAAAGGCCGGCCCCTCACGGGGCAGCGGCCGGGTGCGGCGCAGGGGCGCCGGGGCAGCGAGGCAGCGGGCGCGGCGAGCGGCGGGGCGCGGCGAGGGGGCGGCGCCCGCAGGGCCGGGCGCCGAGGCGCGCCGTGGCCACTTCGGCTCGAGCCGCTGCCGCGCCGAGCCTGCCGCCGCAGCGGCGCCCCCACGCGGCTCGCCGCGGGCCTCCGACGACGGCGCCGATCGATCCCCGCGCTGCACCGCCCGCGGCCCGCGGGGCCGCGCTGGCGGTGCCCGCGGCGGCGGGCCTGGCCCGCGGCTCCGCGGCCGATCGGCTGCTGCGGGCCGCGGAGGGCCTCGGCCGCACGGCGGCGGCGGAGCTCGAGGCGGAGGCGCGGGCCTCGGAAGCCCGCCCGCCCTGGGGCACGAGCAGCGGAGCCGCCCGCGGCTCCCCCCGGAGGCCGCGCCGCCTGGAGGCCCCTGGCCTCGGCGGGGCACCGGCGGCCCTGCAGGCGCCGAGGCGCTGGCAGGCAGGTGGGTTCCCGCGGTGCTCGCCCCCGGAGGCGACGACCGTGGCGAGGCGGAGGGCGGCGGCAGCGACCTCGAGGACGGCAGCTCGGCGGACAGGGCGCTCGGGGGCACCGCTCCCGGCGCCTCCTGGCGCCGTGGCGCGCCGCTCCCGCGTCGCGAGTCGCCTGGGGCCTCGCTCGGCGGCAGGGCGGGGAGCCGGGCGCCCCCTCGGGGCGCTGTGGTGACGACGGAGCGGCTCTTGGCCCGCCAGGCGGCGCTCACGCAGCAGGCGGCGGCCCTCTGGCCGCCCGGCTCGGGGCTCCCGCCGGGAGCCTCCTCCCGCTCGCGGAAGCGGCGATAGCGTTCGACGCGTCGCTGTTCCCCGAGGAGCTCCAGCAGCCGGAGGCGATCCAGGAGCTCTTCAGCGATCTCCTCTCTCTTCTGCCTGCACGCCTCACAGTTGATTGAGCACCCCACTCTCCAAGCGATGCGGAAGACCCCTGGCCCCCGTCAGCCCTTCGGGGACGCGGTGCGGGCTGGGGGTATATTATAAGTGTCGTTCAATGAACCCAAATCAGTGAACGGTTTGAGAATTAGTGGTATGGATATTGAGATCGATTGTGCGGTCGATAGCGAGATCGGTCGTGGAATCGATAGCGAGGACGATTGTAAGGTCGATCGTGAGACCGAGAGGGAAGTCGGTTCAATTCGATCGCTAGTGAGCTCGATCGTGAGATCGCTCGTGCGATCCATAGTGAGATCGATTGTGAGATCAATCATGAGATCGATTGTGAGATCAATGGTGGGACCGATCGATCAGAAAATCGACCAAGAACCCGGGAACCCGGGAACCCCGCCGCCCACCGAAACGGCCCGGAACCCAGAACCGGGAACCCAGGAACCCCGAACCGGTAACCCGGGAACCTGGCAGCCCACCAAGATCGGCCCTTGAACTTTCGCCAAGTCCTTCAATCTCCGCTAGGACCCCTTCAGTGCAAGCACTGATTGTAAAATGATGTCAGCGTTGTCTTGCTATTCACTTTCGCTGTCTGCGGTTTGGGAAGCTCTCTGAGGCGGAATCATAGCTGGCGCCCACGCGGTGCCTCCAGCTGCGGGACGAGCGTGACCATTCGAGCGGAGAGCAGTCAGTTGGCCCAACTGGGGCGCTGACCGCCAAACACACACACACACACTTAGTTTTGTCCGTCGGCGGCGAGGCAGAGGCGGTCCGCTCCAGTGCGTGGCAATACGAGGCAACCGAGTGGCTAATTGGCGGGCATGCAACAGAGGGACGAGGACGAGGGCGGCCGCGCGGAGGGAGGGGAAGTCACACACACACACACACACACACACACACACACACACACACACACACACGCACGCACGCACGCACGCACATGCACACACAAACCACACACACACACACACACACACACACACCACACACACACACATCACACACACACACCACACCACGCGCACGCACGGACGCACGCACGCACGCACGCACGCGCGCGCACACCACACACGACACACACACACACACACACACACACACACCACACACACACACACACACACCACCCGCGCGCCACCACGCACGCACGCACGCACTGCACGCACGCACGACGCACGCACGCACGCCACGCACGCACGCACGCACGCACGCACACACCACGCACACACACACACACACACACACACACACACACACACACACACACACACACACACACACACACACACACCCTTTGCGTCCGCCCCGAGATGAATTTTTCCCCGTTCAGGGCCCAGTATGCCCACTCCAGATCCTTCTCTACTATGGCCAGGCGATGCCAGAAGGGGATCAACCCATAAGGGAAATGGCCTCGTATCTGGAGGAGGAGGAGGAGGAGGAGGAGGAGGAGGAGGAGGAGGAGGAGGAGGGGGGGAGGAGGAGGATGCCCCAGGACCCATCCCCCTCCCTCACACACTGCCGAGACTAATCGAGACGCGCCAAAACGTTCCAACAATGTGTCATCTTTCATCCTCCCTCCGTCCTCATCCTCCCCGAACTTCAGGAGGACGTGACGACCCCCCTAGCCTGGTTCGGCGGTGAGCGTAAGGGGATGGCACCAGGGTAGGGGGCACCTGAGAAAGCGGAGTACAGTACTTCGGAGCCCTCCTTGCTTCTGAGAGGCCATTTCTGGAACCCCCCCCGCCCTCTGATAACGCCACCCCCCTCGCGCCACCCCCCCTGGGGCGCTCCGCCGGTCAGTGGCCACCCCCCCAGACGTGCGACGTCCTGATCTTTTCAAGACGGCGTCCCTGGAAGTCCCGACCCTATCCCCCGGGACCTGCTTCTCGTCCCGAGCCGCTGTCTGAGGCTCCCCGAGGCCCGGCGAGGGCCACCCCCCCCCGGGGCCGAGAACTGCCAGAAGCCTCCCCTCTCCTGGCTTGTTGTACGACGCGGCCGTGTCTGGGAGCCCCTCTGGCACTGCCTGGCATGTACCGCCCAAGGTGGGCCCACTCCGGGTCGCCGGGATCGTCCGTGCCGAACTCGCCCAGCCACAGGGGCGCCGCGTCGCGGCCCTCCAGCAGGAAGCCCCAGCGGTGGTCCAGCTCCGCCGCGAAGGCTTCGTAGCTCGCGGCGCGGGCGGCGACGAAGACCAGTGTGCCCAGCACCGCAGCGAGCACAGCGAGCTGGAGGCACCTCGCGGAGAGGGCCTTCGGGAGCTGTGAGTGGTTTCTTCTCGAGTTCCCCACACCACGGGGTTGCTCAGTTCAAGAAACCAAGTCTTCGAATTCCACAGACCTCGCCCCTGTGGCCCCCAGGGTGCCCCCCAGCTTTCCGCCCCCGTGTGGCGCCTCCTCGGGGGGCCCCTGGGCCTCCCGACGGGGTGCCGCGGCGGCCGTGGGGGGGGGCCTCCCTGGAACTCCTGTGGGGCACCCTGGGCCACATGGGAAGCCCTGCGCGACGCCCGAGGCCTGGTCCAGCCAGCGCATCCGGCGCTGCATCGGCCCGCGCCGCAGGGGGGCGCCGCTCCCGGTGCCCCCGGGCAGAGGGGGCGCCGAGCCGAGGCGGGCGGGCGGCGCCCCCGCGTGAGGGGCGCCCTCGGCGCAGGGCCGCGAGGTCAGCTCGAGTCCCTGCGCCGGCTCGCCCGTGCGAGATCGCCCCTCCTCGGCGGCACGCACAAGGCTTCTTAGGCGGAGGGGGGGAGGCTTCTCAGGAGGAGGAGGAGCTTCGGGCCTCACATCTGGAGAGAAGGCCCAGGCCTTCTACGAAGCATGGGGTGCTTCTGAGAAGCGTTCCCCCCCGTCCCCCTGGCCCCCTTTCTGCGCGTGGCCGACCTCTGTCGGCGAGCTCTCAGCAGCCTTCCGCTGCCGCGCGCACGCCCACCGCAGCAAGGCGAGGGCGAGCCTCAGCCAGAGGACGAGGCCCGCGGAGGCGGAGAAGAGGCAGCAGACGTGGAGGAGCTGGCCGGCGACGAGCGTCCGCATGTCGCAGGTGCGGAGCAAGGCTCTGCCCGTGCAGCGGCACAGGAGCGAGAGCAGCGCCAGCAGGCCGGCGGCGACGGCCTCGAGCCACAGCGGCGCACTGCACCATCCGGCAGCTTGGGCATGGCTCTGGAAGTCGCGAGCCTGGGGCAGCATGCCACGAGCCCGCCGAGACTGGTGGGGGTCAAGCCCGAGCCGAGCGCGGGCAGAATGGCGCTCCGTGAGCTCGGCCGGGGCGCCGATGTGGGAGCGAGCGCGCACGCAACAGAACACGCTGAACGGCACAGCCAAAGCAGTCAGCAAGTACTTAGCAGCAGAGCCCGTGTTGCCGCTGACATTGAACCAAGAGTACTCGTGAACGGTGTACACCGTGCGATTCCTGAGGCCCGCTTCCGTGAGGTGGACAGGCTCACGCGGAATGTCGCACAGCAGCATGCTGTACGATAGCAGATGAAGAAAAAGCTGTACAAGCATAAACTTCTGGCGCCCCAAGCTGATTTCTTGGACCCGCGCTGGACCCCCCTCCCTGGCGCGCGGTGCGCGCCAGCGGCGCCGCCGCCGGGGTGGGCGGGCCCAGCGCGGCTCCAGGAGCTCCGCGCGAGGCGCCAAGCGTCCATGCTCATGCCGTGTTCTCCTCCTCGGGATAAGGCAGAGATGATGATCAGCATGCCCCCGCTCTCGGCGAGGACCCGGCCCGCACCCCGCACCGCCCCGCGGGCCCAGTCGCTCTCGGCGGGCCCGCGGCCCCAGGAGGGGCGCCCGAGCGCGGAGGGGCGGACCTCGTTGCGGAGGTCGAAGCCCACCACCCGGGAATTGCTCGCGTACCTTCAGGTCGGGCGCGTCCTCCTACAGGCGGGGGGCTTGGGGCGAAACATAAGACAAAAAAACTATACGCTAGCATACCCCAAACAATCATCAAAAAAGTGTCAAACAATCGCCCCCAGACTAATTTCTTACTATCTTCGAGTATTCCTCCTGTAGAGGGACAGGCCCGACTTAACCGCACCTCGCGGCCATCTGGGCGAGCCCGTCCAGCCAGCTGTCTACAGGATACTCAGAGGTATACCACAGCCCCTCGCCGTCAGACAGTGAGCAGCACCACCTGGCGCTGGAGACGTGGTTGTTCAGGATGACCATGAGCCCCTTGTCAGTGAGGGCCTCGAGAGCAGCGTCGAACACTTCGAGCGGGCTCTTGCTCTTCAGATCGGGGTTGGCTCTCAACGAAGTATGAGGGCTGGGCACAGA